GCAGGAACCATGAAGGGTGTTCCTTGCTAGCTGACTCATGGGCCAGCTTATACTCAGCTAGATTTCTTATACAACCCAAGGTTTCCTGCCGAGGGATGATGTCGCAAACTGGGATAGGCTGTGATAATGGCTACAGAAAGTTGCTCTCGTCTCTGTGGCTTTGGATGGGTGCCGGGATCAAGGTGGGTGGCAAGCGTTGTTCAGTCTCTTGGTCAGAGCTGTGATGTTGTGTGTTTGCTGCCTCACTGTGGGCTTGGTGAGGACACCGAAAAGCCAGAGCCACATCCAGAAGGACCTGAGAGTAGTCCTTAGTCTCACCCTCGTTTTGCTGACTCTTCCGGAACAGTGGGATAAACGGCCTCAGAAGAGGCGTGATGGGGAAAGGTCTCCCCCAGCCCCTTTGGGTACTTGATTCTAGCACTGTGTTCACCATGTTCCTAAGAGTGGAAGGGAGGTATTAGAAGTTCTGAAATAAACTGGATTTACATTTATTTGGTTTTGGGTGTGGATTCTAGTTCAAGGCTGTCAGGACTTGACTGGAGAAACATGTGAAGTGCTCCAATCCTAAAACCAGAAGGAAGGAAACCAGGCGTTTCTCTCACCTGCTCTGCTGGTTGCTCAGGCTCCTGAGTCCTGAATTTTGGGGCATCCCCCCATCCAGAGTCTCCTGTCAATTGCTCTCTGAAGTCCTCTCATCTCCTCAGCCACCCTCACCTAGAAACTCCTGGTCTGTGTTATGTCTAGTCCTTTGTTTACCCTGCTGAATGTCATGTCGGGGAAAGCATGGCCAAGAGGATCCGTGCTGGTCTAGGGCACATGGCATCTGAAAGCCAGTTAGTGGCACCTTTGACACCGTGAACAGCGAAATGCTTGCTTGGATTAGCCTCTAGCCCTTTGGAGTACCTGAGCTACCCAGCTTCAAGACAGATTACAAAAAGGCTTCTAGAATAAACAGCTGGGAAGGGAGAGAAGCTTTGGAGGGGAGAGAAAAGCCCATGTCAGCATATTCCACTCTCAGCTGTTAGTATCGACGGCATTTTCAAGGGCCAAGACCTGGCACACAAAGAAGCAGCCCTTGACACTCTTAAGTCTCCGGTAGCGCAAGGAGAATGGGATCAAGCTGGCTTACTCTTTTCTTATCATACCTCACAGTATCTTAGCAGTGATCCTGGTGAAGCAGATGTCTCACCGTAGGTGGAGGTTGTTGATAAGTAGTGGTGAAACAGGTAGTCCCAGTCTTCACTTTCCTCCAACTCCCACTTGCTGGTGCCCAATACGCCCAAACCATGAGCATATATAACCTTAGAAATGCCACTGGGTGTGGGATTCTCACCAGGAACCCGAATCTCCCAGTCCCCATCATAGAGAGGACTTGGCTGGTGAGGGACCCTTGGCTATATTGCCAATGCTGTTTTCTTTGCTTACCTGGCCCTTCCTTTTTACTTATTTTGGAAACTTTCAAACCCACCTATCTACCTTCTTTCTTTCTCCCCGCACTCCTTCCCTCCCTCTCTCCCTGAACCTGGGGCTTCAGCCTTGAGCCTCCTGAGCAAGTACTTCACCACTGAGCTACAGCCCTAAGTCCCCTGCTTCTTCTGATAGTTTGTATGTCCCCAGTCCTGCGTGCTTATTCCTGCTTCCTTGTTCTTGCCTTGCATGATTACAGTTCATTAACCTCCAAGTTGTGCCAGGTTGAATGCAGGCTTTATTAACCACTGGGCTAATTTGGTTAGGATCCACTGGCTAGGAAACACAACCACACACAGCATTCGTTTTCTCAGGCACCCTTCAAATCTATGCTTGATCTTGTTCAATACGAGGGGATCTCAACTTCTTGAAAGAAAAAGAAAATATCTAGAAGTTGAGTGGAGACTCCCTTGATTCTTGGGCAGCTTCCGACTTAATGGTTTGTGTGTAAGAGGACAGGCTGTATTTTTAAGCTGCAGGCTTTTCCATGCTGCTTCATAGCCAAACTGACTGCGGGACACCCAGGTTCTCCATGTTTCAGTGAGGTGGGAAGGGTTGATAGAACAAGGCCAGGCTTTCTGGTTGCTGTCCACAAGTGAACTGACCCAGGTTCTAAAGTGTCATCTACTCTCTGAGGTACTTTCTGTTAACAGTGGTTGTTATTTATGGTGTATATATGTACATGTGTGCATGTATTTCATAAGCAGAGAAATGTTGGGTTTCCTTTGGTCTTTGTACATGTTTTAATTACATAGTATCTCAAAAGGAAGTCACCTCTAGCCCAGAATCTCCAGCTTATTATAGCATGACCAAAAGTAATTTTTACATCCTTGTATCTGGTTAGGAAAACTACCTCTTAGGTTGACATCAGAACAGGCAGCATTAGTCGAGAAGCACATCGTATACCCTTAACTACCAAACATCTGTTTGTTATTCCCGATAAGTGTTAAAGAGGATCTACAACCCTGGGACTAGGGAGGCAGTTCAGTGGTAAAAGTGCTGGTGTACAAGCATGGGCATCTCAGTGGGCATCCCAGAACCCATGTTAAAAGCTGGGCATGGCAGTGCTTGGCAGTGCATACCTTTAATCCCAGCAGTGGGCAGCAGAGATAGGAGGACCTGGGGGCATTGCTGGCCAGCCATTCTAGCCCACAGGTGAGTGACAGATTCAGTAAAATACCCTGTCACAAAGAATAAAGCATAGAACACTTGAAGAAAACCCCACGGCCACATACATGTGCATGCATGGGCAGGGGCACCCACATGCACGCACATGCTCTTAACTCCGCCCACTCAACACACACACAACCATTTGTTTAAAAAAAAAAAAGATTTAAGCCCTGGCACTAAAATACTTTTCCTTAAAAATAAAAATCTCCAAGACACTGTGTAAGAATTATCAAAATTGTTGTCAATCCTATGTTAACAGTGTGTATCAACCCTGACTCCGTGAGTGAGAGCGAAGGACTCTCTGTGTCTCTTATAGCTCCCTCAGAGAAGTTTTGGCTGTAGACTGGCGCACGAGCAGATGACCTAGGAACACCTGAGGTGGGGACAGGTAGGGACAGGTAGTCAGTTTACTGAGAACTATGAGATTCTAAGGGATTGAAGATGTGGCAAGTGAAAGCTGGGCTAGGTAGCTGGTCAAGCATCTTTGTCTGTCAGTTAAGACCATGTTCCCTTTTCCTGGGTGCCAGTGTGAACAATAAATTGACATTTTGTGACATTAGACATCTCTGTAAGGCATGGGGACAAGCTTTCCAGTTATGTGATAGGTTGGTTTTGAAATGGATTAATACATGAAATAAGTAAGAAACAGCATATATAGTTTCTACCTTAAAGGTCAGAAATCCATTCGCCAGTGCTTCTGCTTTTAGTTATTTTTCATAATTCTTCACTCACCTTTTAGTCAATCAGATACTGAATTTTCATGCCTTTGAAGCCACTGTTGCCCAGACATTGTGTGCCTATGGAGCTGTCTGTGTAGAATCACTCTACAGAGACGGGATGCTGGGGTCCTCCCTTGTGTGCTGTTGTGAAGCTGTGTTTCTGCTAAGGCTGGCATACCATTTTCTTTGGAATATCTGTCTTCCATGATTGACAATGTCATTACCTTCTCTCCTGGCTTATTAAAAATAAAAAGCAGGTATAACATTATGTTCACTGAATAGTAGTGCATGTGGATTAAGAATTTATCTTTTGAAGACAATTACAAAATAATTTTCATAATCATAGAAAGTGTCAACGTGGGGATTGCAGTATGCACTTTGTATCCTGGCCTCGGCGAATGTGTATTCTCCAGTGGACAGAGACAGAGAACCAAGAACAGAAGGAGCTGTGGTGGGCCATTGAGAGTCTGAGGATTTCTTCCTTCCCATAGATATTGTTATAGTTTTAAATACGATTTTTACTGTGAAATCCTTGTAGTTCTAGTTAAGTCTCTGATTCCATTTTTCATCGGAAGATTCAGATATTTAAATACTTGCTAGGTGCAGCCTCTGAGGAAAATGATGCCTTGTCAGGTGGATGTAAGGAACTGAGCCATGCACGTTTGTCGTCTTCTTGCTCCTGCGAGCATCTTTCAAGGGAAAAAGCCACACACGCCTGCTTAAGTCATCAGAAACATTTTTACTCCTGTTTTTGTTTAACATTTGACAGAACAAAAGTCCTGGAACTGTGCCTACCACAGACTCATTTCTAAATGTAAAGTAATTAAAAGTAATTTCAAAACTCTGTAAAGAACCAATAACACAATTCAAAACATATCCTCTGTCTGTCTTTGGAGGGGGGATGGGGTAATGAATTAATTTGTTTGTTTGACTGATGGCACACTGAGTTCTTAAAACCCTTGGTGGAGTGTTACCTGCCAAGGAGGGTCTGCATCTCAGTCCTGAAGATGATGTGGCGGACTCTGACCTGCCCACCAGTTCTTCAGTTCCTTGGGGTCGGTAGGGAAAGGCATAGGGTCTGGTACATGCCACCGCTGCCACTCATCAGTTTCTTGCCTTTATTAAAGATATCCAAGTACCAGCTAGAAATTCCTAAGTCATCGGCTTTGCTCACCAGTGCTCTGGTCCGAGTTCTTAGTGCTCAAAAATTAGTTATTCCAGAGAATACCCTTGTCCCTGTGGCTCTATAGCATAGTATATAGCCCTTTCTGAGCCATGGGCACGCCCCAAGACTACAAACATGACTGCTTAGACCTGCACTCTCCAATGTGGAGCCACTAAATCCCTTTGCTATTGTAATTTAAATTGCATACAATTTTACAGCCCTCGGTTTCACCACCTATTTCTTGGCTTAGACTTTCACCTCCTTGAGAGTGCTAAGAAGCTAGAATGTGAGCAGCATTCTTGTGAGCTGTCCTCAGTGCTTTCCCTGCTGCCCTGAGAGCCCAGGGCTCAAGAAGTCCATGTGGCTGTCCTGCTGGATAGCACGAGTGATTGTAGTCATGGCAGAAAGTCCTGCTGGACACAGAACTTTACTGAGTTTTCCTGGGCCTAATGGGTTTTTTGCTTCTGTTTACAATGCAGCTGTCTGCTTCAGGAAGTGAGGGTTCTGGAACAAGAAGGACCTTCAGGAGCTGCTTCACACTGTGACATGTCTGATCCCTTGTGCCCGTCACTGCAGCATGAACAAGGTAAGGGATGCTTCGAATATACTTTGTAAATTTTCCTATATTGTGATTTTCTTGGGCACATATGTCTCTGTGGCCCAAGGCGGTTGCTTTTCCTGCCATTATAGTTGGTCATGTAATGTCCACAAGCCATCTTTCAGGCAGGGTGCGGGAGCTGGTGGACACTTCATGATTCTATAGAGTATCTCTTGCATTTCCCAAAGGTGTTTGATCACTGAAATGCTGACTGTTTGTGTGACTGTGTTGACATGACTAATAGAGAATTAGTCTGTTGAGCCAGATTTCCTGAGATGACTATCAGCTCTGCCAGACCTCAGGCAAGTGACCCAACTTCTTGAAGCCTCTCCTTTTCCCATGTGTAATATGCTAATCATAGTGAGGGAAATATACTAATTTATGTGCCCCTTGCCATATATAGTGCCTGTCTGTATTACAGGCCTCATGGAAACATTTGGCACAGTTTTGATGTTGGGACACTGTTAGCCCACACACCTAGCTGCAAGAGAGTCTAGCAAGTACATGCAGCATTTCCATTTGCTCTCTGATGTGCTGAGTAGCCATTGATTCCCAGAAGGGCCCATTAGGGATAAGCGATGAGTAAGGTTTGGATTGAGCTGCTAGCAAGTGGCAGACTATTTCAGGTTTGAGTAGTCTAATAAGGGATGTGCCAGAAGCTCTAGAGGCATAGAAGAAACAGCCAGATCTGTGACTAACTTAGCTTTCTATTGCTGCAATAAAACACTGACTAAAAGCATCCTTAGGAAGGAAAATTTTTTATTTGGCTTATAGGTTACAGTCCATCATTGGGGATTTAAGGCGGGAATAGAACCAGAGACCGTAGAGGAATGCTGTTTACTCGCTTGCTCCCAAGTACTGCCCACGGTGGACTGGTCCCTCCCACATCAACCATTAATCAAGAGAATGGTCTATAGACTGTCCCATAGGCAATCTTACGGAGGCCATTTCTCAACTGAGGATCTTCATCCCAGATTACTCTAGTTTGTGTCAAGTAAGTTGACAGAACAAAACCAGGGTCATGACCTAGGAGAGACAGTACAGAGGAGGTGAGATTCTGAGTTGGAATCTGGATGGTAAAATGATAATTTTTCTGGGCAGACGGTGTAGAACTAGGCACTGCAGGTGAAGGGAAAACCTGGTTTTGGCACAAAGGCCTATGAGAAGGTCTGGTGTGCTCAGGAAGAACAGATGTTTGAATGGCTGGAGCAGAGTCTTCTCTCCGTGACACTTGACGCTGTGACAAGGGAACTCAAGAGTGAGTCACTGTCTTCTGCATTTTAGGATTCTTGGTGGTATCCCCTTCCTCCCATTCTAGTCATGACAACGGAAATTGTCCCCTGGTATTTATTTCCCCATGCTGCTTGACAAAAATCACCTCTGACTGAAACCTACACGAGTGGTGGCCAGAGACCATGTATGAGCTCAGTGAATGAGGCAAGGCCAGCATTTGAGGAGAACGTTTTCTATAAAAATAGGCATAATGTAGGGGTTGTGGTGGAATTGTACAACACTTGGGGTACTTTGGTCTTGACCGCAGAGAGGGCATTTAACCTGCTGAGTTCCCGGTCTGAAGCTACCCTCAATTGATTTTTCATAGGCCAGTCTTCCTTCATAAGGGTGGGAAGTGCTAAGGCCCCTTCAATGTTTGCATTCTAATAGGATGTTGTGGCTGCTACCATATCTGAAGAGGCCAGAAAAACCAAAGCAAAACAGCAATAATAGAACCAAACAATTATGTTGAAGAATTTTACATTTGGCTGAAATGAACTACTATCCACCCTTTCCTGTGCCCCCCCCCGAAAAAAAAGCCTTCTGTTGGATGTCCCACTGTTCCCCGACAGGTCCGTATCCAAGCTTAAGGACTCACCTTTTAACAGGCTAACAAGTCAGCTTGGGGAATTTTGAAGGATAGACTGTCATGGCTGGAGACAGAAGTCAATCCCCACAAGCCCCAGCTTCTGTTATTTCGAGGCTGGTATACTGGAAAGTCAAGGCAGAGCTTGGGAAACTTCTGATCCACATGCTCAGCTTGTGCCATCAGCAGGTTCCCAGTGGCCTGCAGGGCATCTCCACAGCTGATGTCATGGTCTTGCTCTTAGTACACACTCAGGAAGTAGACTCTTGGGAACCAGTAGGTGTGTCTGTGCTTGGGAAGTTGTGTTTTGCCTGCAAGGCCCACTGAATGCCTTACTTTATATCCTTTTAATTGGAAGTAGTGAGTAAGCTGGGATGTGTCACCTCCCTTGGTCAGCATTTTTCTCCCTCTTTTTATGGCTTTCTTGGCAACAGACAGAGAATAGGTCTTGCTCTGGGGGAGGAAACAGCTCTTTTCAATACAATAAAACCAGAGAGTCATCTCATCAGGGAGGTATGTAACAGGCCGCTGGAAGTGTGGTCATGGGTGTGGCTGGTGTTCTAAGTGGATTTGTTCCTAGAAAGCTGGGAGACATTTCAACTGTGCCTCTCCATTAGACACATTCTCTAATTCTGTCCTTCCTTCCTGAATACCAGCCAGGAGGATTTCAGTTAGGGAGCGGTCAAGACAAAAGGTAGCCACAGTGTTCTAGAGTTCTTACTCCTATAAGGCACCAGGGTGATACTGCCGAGAGATTTTCTTTGTGTTATTTCAGGGCTAAACCCTCTAGAGAACAGGAATGGCTGCCATGGCACAAAGGGGTTGCTTACTTATTGTAGTAATTTGATCATGTGACTGACCTAGGGTCTAGTGAGCTGCATCTACCATGCAGGGATTTTATTTCTCAAATTTTCCCTTTCTTACCGGTGGCTGGGTGTGAGGGGAATAGCTGTGGCCCTGCTTGTGCCTCTGCAGTACCATGGGCAGAGAGGGGAAAGAGATATTCCTAAACTCACTGTGAATAGACCGCCATTTCCTGAGGCTAGTATGTGGGGATTACGTCCTCTGGATGTGCGTTCTAGAAAGTTCACCTCAGACTGACTCACCTTCCTCACGTTGTAAAACAGGCTTAGTGGTTTTACAATGAGAGCCTTATGCATTAAACAAATCATGAGGTGCATTTTCTGGGACATCATTCCACACCCCACCCCTACCCCTTAGACTGGAAGACCATCTTTCTAACTTTCTCAGGCATTTTTTGCAAAATTGATGTTTCAGTCTTTATGGCGATTGACAAATTTCACAGTGGGGACTTAGCTTTTGAATTGTGCAAAAAAGCCTTTATCCTTTCTGGTTTCTGGAATCATTCTTACTGATATTTATACCACATCTCACGTCATACGCTTCTGTTACAAGGACGAATGTTTGGGGTTTATCTATATTCTGTGTACACTGTTATGCTGTAAAGAAAGAAGTGTAGTTTGCAACAAAACAAAACAAAAACAAGAAACACCAGACAAAACACAGGGAAGTTGGGGTTCTCAGAGGAAAGCAGTGCAGAGTGATGCCTCTTGCTGTACATGGCCTTGATGCTCACAAGCCACACCCACACTCGTGACAGGGTCTGCTCCCAGAAGCCCCTCCTGTGGCAGTCTCAGGGTGCTGGCCCCTCACTTTCTTAAAGTTGTCCCTTTCCTGAGAGTCTGTCACATGTCCTCTTCTCTGAGTTTGTGAGTACATTCCATCTGACTGGAAAACAGAAATCACTTTTTCTGATGCCACACAAAACGACACCCTCCCTGTCGGCACTCCACCAGTAACACGGCCTCCTTTTACACTCTGTTGTGTTCCGGTGAGGCCTGCTCTGCTTTGCCGGCTTTGGAAGGGTGCAGAGGGTTTAGGGATGCCTCTGACCTCCCCTGTACACAGATGCTGTTGCTGGGTTAGTTAACTCCCCCACCCCCAGGTTCTTCTCTGACTGTTCCTAGTTCCCTACTCTGCTGTAGCAACAGAAGCAATTTCACATTGACACTCAGGCCAGTATCCCTACAGTTGGCTAAAAGGTACACCCGGAATTCACTTCATTTCTGCCTTCATGTACAGTGGTCTTTCTTACTTTGCACATACCATGAAGCAGTGAAATCCAGAATTCACTCCCCTTGTTTATCCACCCAGCCCGTGGTGTAGACATGGCTTTAATTTATCAATTACATCTTCTAATTTACAGATTATCAATTATATTTTATTTATGAAAATGTTTTATTGAGCACCAGCTCCTCCGGGTTCTCACACACATCCTGAGTTCTGTGTGTTAATGTTTACAGAAGCCAATCAGAAAGAAACAACAGACTGAACTTCTGCTCCGCCAATGGCAGAGAGAGCCACCCCTCCTGAGCTTTAAACATGAACCTGGTATTAAATGCTTCTCCAGCTTAAACTCCTTCTGCTGGGAGAACAAGATAAAATGCTACTGGGTCCAGACAGGGAATGGGCAACAGGAAAGCCAGCAGCTGTCCGCCTCCCCCTCAGCATGGCCCTAGTGCTCCAACCAATGCCCAACCTGTATTTAATCAGCACCAACTGTCTCTTCCTGGAGGCAGTAGCTAATCCTCCTTGGGTCAGAAATTGAGGAACTATAGCTTTAAAAAAAATTTAGTGACATGAAAGAAAAGCTAAGTAAACATTAAGTGATAAGGAAGGCCTTCTCAATTCCTGGGGCAGAAATTAAAGACAGAGGATGTTTTACCTATGAATTACCTCATTTTTTCTTTGCATCAGAACATATTATCAACTAGTTTAAAAAACAAGGTGAGGTTTTTGTGTGTGTATGTGTGACCGTGTATGTGTGAGTATGTATGTATGTGTGACTATGTGTGAATATGTGTGTGATAGATAACTAATTGGTTATAGATATAAGTAACGAATTGCTTACAAATCACAACAAATGATAAGATGAAACAGTTGCTTTAATAAAAGGTGAGCAGAAATATAAAACACATAAAGGAAAACCAAAAATAAACAATACATGAAACGTTTTAAACTTGCGAGTAATCAAATAAGTGCAAATAAATTATAATGGATGAGAATTTGAAATTTTACTCAGCAGAGGTAGGAACTGAGGATACACACT